TTTATAGGCTGGAGCCAGGTATGGTAGACTCTTTCGATCAATTAAAGCAAACTTTCCTCAATCATTTTGTGATATAGACCGATCATCTTTACTCTACTGATGACCTCTACACTATTCGACAAGGAGACGATGAGCCCCTTCAAGAGTATGTAGCCAGATTCAGCCACGAATACTCTTGATGTCTGGAAACCGACGATCGGGCAGCCTTCGGCGCTTTCAAAAGTGGCCTCCGTTCATCACAGTTCCGTTACGTGGTCCACAGTAACAATTGGACGACATACGACAAACTCATGAAACATGCAGCAATCCATGCCAAAGTTGAGCATTTCAATTCCAAGGGAGAACCTTTAGCGCCCTCTTGCCCATCGGCACCTATCGATCAGCCAAAGGATCAAACCCACAACCGCTCCCCGTCTGCCCGAACAAACCAATCCGTCCATTTCCAAACGGCACCACCAGTGTCAAACTCTTTTATAGGAGGAAAAAGGAGAGACAGATTCCAGGGTCGGCAGAACGGGGACAAACGTGGCAAAAACTCCGAAGGCCAAATGAACTTCGAGGACACAAAGAATCGACATCCTGAGGTATTCACCCTGCTAAACACCAACTATGAGTCAACACATCCAACCGATTATGACAGATAACCTCGGAGTTCCCGCCAGTACCTGTCAGAGCACGTGTCGACCGTCGAAGACACTCCCACGAGTCCCACATCGAAACTAAGTACTAAGAGCATCACAAATGCTCTCTATAAATAGATCCCCTTGGCCCAGCCAAGAGGTAAGACTGTTTACTTGACTTGTGCTTCCATACTGTCAAAAAAACTGCTCTTAGTCACTAACTTTGGCATCAAAGGGTCTTCAGCCGGCGCCACATCGGTGTCCCAGACCTCACCTGCCATTTCTTTCTCCAGGTCGGATCCAGCTCTACGCCACGGACCGAAGGTTCCTCAGGTCCAAACTCCCCACTCCACCTGTAAGTTAGCTATACTTATATATGTTTAGTTTTAGCGCGAACAAATTTGATTCAAAGGCTAACTAATTTGATTCAATGGTTAAGAGATAAGGCCTCATCTGAGGGCCTTATACAAGGCATTCACTATAGAATTCTTGTAGGTTGGTGATGGGTTGCATTTGGTTTGGGCTTTATACATTTTTAATGCTTCCCACTCTTAATGAATAGAGTTAATTTGACAAAAAAATATCATTATTGTTGGAGAACAATTAGAATATAACCAAATAATAGAATAAAACAATACGAAATATATTATATATATATATAATCAAATCAATATAGCAATAGAATGAATTACAGAATACTGACTTGAATAGATGATAGAGTCTTGTAGAGTTGTAGTGTCCTTTAGACAATATTTCTCCTATACCTTTGTGCTTGTAGTTCGATAGGAGTCTATCCACCAGGATTAAACTATCACAAATCAAAGCCTAAGCACTATGGCTTTGATTTCTGGCAAACAATGATATGCTTTCTCTCAGGAAGTATTTATGTGTGAGACTAATTATGCAATTTCAATTTCTATATGTTCTGGTTTGGACGAATTGTCAATATATAGAGGCCTAATACTTTTTCATCCAACAATTACAATAGCTGTTTAAACATATTCGAATTTTAGATAATGATTTTATCTTAAAAGGAATTTCTAATTAATAAAAAGAAATATTAATTAAATCAACAGAGCCCAAGAGCCTCATCTTTTGACAATTAAATATATATATATATAATTAGCCAATTATATATATATATATATCCACTGTGATGAGGCCCAACTTTATCTTCTCCACTAGGCTCATACCCTATTTAGTATTTCTGAAGTGCTGGTGCTTATAAACTATGAAAGGAAACAACTCTCTTCAAATATGGGACTAAGTAAAAGTGTATTTTCATGCACAAACTCTAACAATTATATATTAAAAAAACCAATGAAATGATTGTGGAGAAGATAAAGTCACACTATGATTAGGAGTAAGAGATCTATGCTTCTCTTAACATGTACAATATCATGACATTAAAATGAATGAAATTCGGGTTTGAGAAAAGAACTAGTATTTTGATTCCAACATTAGGTGATTTCATGGATTGAATTGTGTTGTAATTAAGGACAAACTAGTCCCTCGATTGCATTATAATTAAGGATAAAACTGGTTCACAATATTTCTAATTAGTTCGGGTAACCATGATATGATACTAGAGAATAAACAAATAATCATATTATTTAATGAACAAAACTTAGGTCTTGTCCACCTCGCTGTGATTCACTATTTAAATATTATATTTGCTGAAAATCAATCAAATTTGATATCATTTAGTTATTTATATGTATCAAATAACTGGACGATTCATCGTGAGAATCTTAATTGTTGTCAAAATCATTGTTCGATAAATATGAATTAATAAACGATCCCCAATTTGATTGATTTTTGTTGAGTTCATTTTTAAATTGTGATTTAGGAAATGAAATGTTTCGATTATGAGATGTGTGTGGTTAAGATTCGTAAATCACAACATGGTGAAAAAAATGTTGTCCTTATTAATTAGTTCACATTAAATGAAAAATTAAAAAGAGTATTTCTATTTTTTCGCTACAAAAATAAGAATACGTAGTCAGGGCATTTTTAAGGCAATATTTCCAGTTATCTATTAATTAGAAAGAGTTTTATGTTTTTTTATAATATTTTTTTTAATCTTTCTTTATATTCGGGAC